CGTCGTTGTTGTTGTTGTTGTTGTTGTTGTTGTTGTTGTTGTTGTTGTTGTTGTTGTTGTTGTTGTTGTTGTTGTTGTTGTTGTTGTAGCATTCCGCCTCGTTGGTGAGGGACGGTCGCGGAGTCCCGCCCCCCACTCCAAGCAACCAGCAACTCAACAACCCCCGGGGAAGGGCCGAAGGCCCCCCCCGGGGGGTGATGAGGTGCTGGGATCCTTGGGGGTTCCTTAGGGAATCCGTTGGCATCCTGAGGGAATCCTTCGGAGTCCTTCGGGGATCCTTTTGGCATTCCTCAGGGATCCTTCGGGATCTCCAAGGATTCCTCAGGAATCCTTCAGAGATCCGCAAGGATTCCGTAGAACTCCGGGAGAAATACGGAGGAATCCGCAGCGAGTTTTCAGGAAAATCCAGGGCCCCCTCAGGATTCCTCAGGAAATCGTTTGGAGTCTTTAGGGGATCATCAGGGATGCCTAGGGCTTCTTAGGAATCCTCTGGGGTATCCTTTGGCACCCTTAGAATGCTGAGGATTCCTGAAGGGATCCTCAGGAGTGATTATGGAGTCCTTTGGCATCCCTAGGTGGTCCTCAGGAATCCCGACGGAATCCGCGGGAACCCTTTACGGAATCCTGTGGGATTTTTTGCGGATCCTCGGGGTCCTTTTGGAATCTTCATTTTTGGGAATCTTCAGGGAATCCTTTGAATCTTTTGGGACTCCCAAGGGATTCCCAGGGAGTCGTCAGGATTCTTCAGGGAAACATCGGGCATCTTTCTAGGGAGTCCCCAGGAAGCCCTCGATAATCTGTATGGATCCTTACGATTTGCTAGGGATTTCCTAAGCTTCTTCAGGGAGTCGTAAGGATCTCTTAGAGATTCGCAAGCGTCCACTTAGGTAATCTCGAGGATTCCTTTGGGAGTCGTTAGGGTCCCCAAAGGATTCCAGATACTTCCATTAGAACCTGTGAGATTTCTATTTGGGTATTTGGAGAATCAGTTTTTGGGATTCCGGAGGATTCCTCCGGGGTTCCTGAGGATTCCTTATATATTCTTGAGGATGCAATAGGGGCCCCTCCGGATCCGAGGGGCCTCCCTGCAGAGTAGTATCCAGCTTCGAGATCGCTTCGGTAGCGCGCGCATGGTTTGAAGTCGTGGGAACGCGTGGGTTGCCTTGAGGATTCAGAAGGATATGTGAGGATTTCCTACGCATCCCTTTCGATTCATATGCTTAGCTTGAGCTACCGCTGCTGGCTGCCAGTGACCAGTTGCGGGGGGGTCGATTTGCGGCCCCCCGGATTTGAGTCCGTCCTGCGCAATCGGTCGAGGACTGGAGAAGGCCGTGCGGGTGCCATGGGGTTCCGTTGTAGCCCTTGTCCTTGCTGTTGTTGTTGTTGTTGTTGTTGTTGTTGTTGTTGTTGTTGTTGTTGTTGTTGTTGTTGTTGTTGTTGTGGTTGTGGTTGTGGTTGTTGAACATTATTGATTCTAAAGAATAATTATTGTTGGGCCCCCTGGTGCGCGCCCCCCCTGCGCCGCCTAGGCCGCAGCTACATTTTCATCATTTCCGTGAGGAAGCCTCAGAAAAGAGGGTGTGTACAGGATCCGGTTGTTTTGTTGTAATCCGCTTTCCCTTGCAAAAAACAATAGAAAATGACATTTCTTGTTCTAATATAATCAAATTTCAAGAATCCCTTGCAAAAAATAAGGTAAAGTGGACATTCGCGCGCGCAAGACGAAATCCTTCCAAAACCTTAGTGTTCGCAGCGATTTTAACATAAAAACATCAAAAAACCAATGGTTTTTCAACAAAAAAAATGTCAAAATCTCATCCCGCGCGCTCTTGCGGATTCGTAGGAAACCCAACACTTTTTAAACATTTCTGTCAAACGGGCTTTTGCGAGCAACTTTTTCGAACTTCTGCAACAACGGTTGCGCACCTGCCAGGGCCATCATCCCTGTCAAATAATACCATGCGGGACACATTCGTTTTTTCTTCGCGCGCGCACGCCGTCGTCGTCGGCCGCGGGGCCCTGAATAGTAGCCACGGTCGTCCGCATGCCACGAAGTGAAGTGTCCGAACGTCATAGGGCGGGAAGCTGGGTGTGGGTGGTGGCGAAGAGTCGTTTGGAAATTGGTAGAGCTTGAACCGGCCCCCCCACAAAGTGGGGGTATTGCCCGCCTCCTATGAAAACCCTGGCACTGGTGAGAACGGAGTGTCCCCACGTGCTAGTAATTGGTGTTGTTGTTGTTGCAGTTGTTGTTGTTGTTGTTGTTGTTGTTGTTGGTGTTGGTGTTGTTGTTGTTGTTGTTGCAGTTGTTGTTGTTGCATTTGTCGTTGTTTGTCGTGGTTTGTCGTTTGTCGTTTGTTGTTTGTTGTTTGTTGTTTGTTGTTTGTTGTTTGTTGTTTGTTTGTTTGTTTGTTTGTTTGTTTGTTTGTTTGTTTGTTTGTTTGTTGTTGTTGTTGTTGTTGTTGTTGTTGTTGTTGTTGTTGTCGTTGTCGTTGTCGTTGTCGTCGTCGTCGTCGTTGTTGTTGTTGTTGCTTATGAACTTTGACGGCTGAAAAATAATCATTGTTGATCCTCCTGGGGCTCGCACCCTGTTCTTTATCAGGGGAAGTCTTGAGGCTCAAACTGTGCCCCTGGCCCCCGGGTTAAAACAACAACGGCTCCCGCCTGAGATTTCCTCACAATTTTTCCCGGACCCCCCGCTCCCGCCTGTGACTTCCTCGCATTTTATATGCATCGCGCTCTCGCTTGGGACTTCCTTACAATTTATTCAGGAATCGCTCTCTCGGCGCTCTGGAGTCGCGCTCTCGCTGGAGACTTGCGTGTAATTTATTCAGGCATAGCGCCCTTGCGTTTGAATTTCCCGCAATTTACACAAGCGCCGCGCCCCCGACACTCAGGCACCCAGGAGTCGCGCTCACGCTTAGGATTCTCTCACATATTATTTAGGAATAGCGATCTCGCTGCCCTTCGTGGCCCCGTATCAGCCCTTCGTGGCCCCCTCGCTGCCCTTCGTGGACCCGTTGCAGCCCTTCGTGGCCCCCTCGCTGCCCTTCGTGGCTCCATTGCAGCCCTTCGTGGCCGCCGTGGCCCCCTCGCGGCCCTTCGTGGCCCCATATATGTATGCCCTTTGTGGCCCCCGCTCGTTCGCGCCCGTCATGGCCCCATATGCATCGGTTGATCCCCTGTGGGTGGATGCAAATCACCACGCCGAGTGATCTGGGCCGGCCGCGCGCGCCTCTACGCCCGACTTTTTATGTTTCGACGCGACGCTGCGCGCGGGCCGCGACGCCAGCAAGTGTGTGCGTGTGTGTGTGTGTGTGTGTGTGTGTGTGTTGCTCTCTCGCTTCTCCCCCCCCTCCCTGGCTCTGCCCTGGGCGCCGTCAGGTGCGCGGTGTTGCTGCGGTGGTATCGCTCGCTGGCTCCTTTTCAGCGCGTGAACCGCGCTGTCGTGACGTCTGCCCGCCCTTCCGCTGCACTTGGCCTATCGTCACCGAGCGCGTTCCACTAATCGCAAAGTGCCTACTCGCAAACGCTAGGAAAACACACATTGTATATGTTTGCCTACATGTTATGAATCGTGAATCTCGTTTGGCGGATCCAGGCCGTTTCCGAGTACTTCCTTTGCGAGTAGTAGAAAGGCGCTTGTCCAAATCGATTGGTGGGGCAGCCTGCATCGGTCGCTCGATGATTCAGTAGCAATTGGCACCCGACTGTTCGCGTCTCAGTTCACCTTGAGTCGAGCTCGCCTTGGCGTGCTCTTCGGTCTCTGGCCTCTGCATGTTCGCTGGGTTACAGTCCCTCTTACCCAGCGCCCATCTTTGCACGTCAGTGATTGACGTTTCGTTTACTGCGTTCCCGACCTTGCTCGATCGCAATTAACACCTTCGTCTGCTGCTCGCGCTTGATGGCCCTCTGCGCCGCTGACTCAAAAGTGTGTGGGGGTGCGCGTGCGTGCGTGCGTGCGTGCGTGTGCGTATGAAACCGCTCCCGCGTCCCTGAAGCTGGCGGCGAATTCCGGCCCAGGGCCGCTTCGCCGCCATATTCACCGGCGGCTACCTGCTTTCCATTCGCCCCCTTCGGTAGTCCTCTAGCAGTCGATCCTGCTGCGTCTGTCTTGTCCTGCCTTGCCTTTCGCCCTTTTTGGTCGTACCTGTGCCGCCACTTCGCCTCGCCTTGTTCTGTTCGCGTGCTGGCGTTTCGGCACCGCCTTGTCCTTTTCCTTCGTCTTCCGTGCGCGCATGACACGGTTTATCCCTTCGGGTGGGTCTTTGTCCCCGGCTTCTTGGTGGGCCAGTCGCGTGCGCGTTTATCCTGCTTCCCGATGTTTTACGATTCGACATTGCGCGCCAGGCCGCGATGCCAAAACGTGTGTGTGTGTGTGCGTGTGTGGGTGGTGTTTGTGTTGTCACGTGGCCCCATACGCACTCTCTTTCGCTCTTCCTCGCCCCTTTAACTCTTGGTCCTCTCCTCGTCCCCCTCCTTCTCCGCGTCCTCCGCTCCTCCCCCTCGCTCAGCTTCGCCTCCCTCTTCGTGGCCCTCCCCTCCCTCCTCCAGGCCTCCCCTCTCGCTCCTCCTCGCCCTCCTCCCCCCAAGCCTGGCGGCCAGCTCCCCCTTCCGCTCCCGCCCACGCTTACCCGTCCAGCGAGGGAGGTACGCTTAAGTCGGGCCTGTCCTTCTACAGGAGGAATATCCAAAAATAGCCAAAAACATAGTCAGGGGACGCAGTTATTTTTTCTTCTGAGTAAGAATAATTGAGCACTTTGGGAGTGTATATATATCTGTATATATGTGTATATATATATATATATATATATATATGTATGTATGTATATATATATGTATATATATATACACATTACTTAATTAATTACTTTCGCCCGACACCCCCTTGTAGGGGGACAGGCCCGACCTGAAGGTACGCATCTCGTGCGGCCTTTGGTCGCTCCTCATTCCCCGTGGCCGATCCCCCGTTCCGGGGCTGGGGGGGGCCGCGCCGCGCTGAGGAGATCGTCAGGCTCCTCTCCGAGGAGCTGCTGCCTGCGGCGGTGGGCGGCTTCAAGTCCGTGCGCGTCGTGGATCGGGGTGGGCTTGTGCGTGTCCCCCTCCTCCTCCTCCTCCTCCTCCTCCTCCTCCTCCTCCTCCTCCTCCTCCTCCTCCTCCCACGTGGGGGCGGCTTCGGGCCCGTGCGCGTCGTGGGTCGGGGTGGGCTTTGTGCGTGGATTGGCTGGGATCCAAGGAGGAGGGTCGCTGTAGGGTTAAGGAGGGCCTGTCCCTCTACAGGAGGGATATTCAAAAATAGTCACAAAATAGTCAGGGGACGATTGTTTGAGCATTTTGGGAATAGTTGTTTGAGTATTTTTTATTGAGTCCCTTCGCTCCTTCCGCCGGCCCGTGGGGGCCTCTTGGGGGCCGCCTAGGGCCTCCAAGAGGCCTCTTGGGGGCCTTTTAGAGCCTCTTGGGGGCCTCTTGGGGTCGTCTTGGGGGCCTCCTGAGGGCTCTTGGGGGCCTCTTGGGGCCTCTTAGGGGCCTCCTGGGGCTTCCTGGAGGCCTCTCAGGGCCGAGGGCTCGAAATGTTGTTTCGTGTTCCCCCTCTTGGGCCCCTCTTGGGGCGCTCTACGGGCCCTCTTGGGCCGTCTTGGGGCCCTCTTGGGCCGTCTTGGGGCCCTCTTGGGGGCCTCTTGGGCCCTCTTGGGGCGATCTTGCGGGCCTCTTGGGCCGTCTTGGGGCGTCGGGAAGCCGAAAAGGTGGAAACACCAAAATCTTTCCCAAACCCAAGGAAAAATAAGGATTTTTGCATCTTGGGGCCCTCTTGAGAGTGCTCTTGGAGGCCTATTGGGGCGTCTGGGGGTCATCTTGGGCGTCTTGGAGCGATCTTGTGGCATCTTCGAGTCCTCTTGTATCATCTTGGGGGCCTCTTGGAGGCCTCTTGACCCTTCTTGGGGCTCTCTGGAGGGTCTCGAGGGCGGCGCCCAGACGGAAAGCCATCTCTGATTTGACCCTGCCGGAGTATTTTTCCTCCGGGGACCCCCAGGGGCCGCCCCCCGCGCGCGAAGTAGAAATACTGTGAAGCAGTTACCGGAGATCTGAGCACGCCTCTGGCCCGTTGGGCCGGCGAATTTTTCGCCCAAAATCCCCCTGCAGGGGGAGACACGCTCGATCTAACTCTAGGCCTCCCACATGGGGTCGGAGTAGATGGGGTCGGAAGATCACACCGCATCGCCGAGGCATCGGCGATGCGGCTCGATGTGGGGCCCAATTTTTGTCCAGGCCGACGCCGTCGATGCATCGACGGTGCATCGACGATGCGTCGGCGATGTGGCGCGATATTCCGACCCCATCTGCTCGGACCCCATTCGGAGGGCCTCTAGTAGCGCTCGGGTGCCACGCAACGAGCCGTTTACACGAGTATCCTGGCGAAGAAACCAGCAAGCTATGAGCAAGACCGCTCGATGCACGAGACTGCGTTGAGGGGCCTGCTGGATCCCTGAACGCCTCGCCAGAGAAAGTCCAGCCACGACCAACGTACCCCTCCTCGCGCGTCCACAGGAGGAGCTTCCAAGGGGTCACTACACGTGTTCAGAGTGTGCCGAAATGGGGCGGGGGGACGCCACGCGGGCTCTGCCACTGTGGCCTTTGGAGGAGCGCCCAATGGGGCCGCGAAACGTGTGTGTGTGTGTGTGTGTGTGTGTGTGTGTGTGTGTGTGTGTGTGTGTGTGTGTGTGCGCGCGCGCCAAAATGGACCCGAGTCACCATGCGAGCCTTGCTACCGCGGCCTTCGGAGGAGTTTCCTGTGGGGTTACTAAACGCGTGATGGTTGTGCCAAAATGGCCCCGAGTCACCATGCGGCCACAAAGCGTGTGAGGCGTGTGCCGACATGGACCCGAGTCACCACGCAAACCTTGCCACAGAGGCCTTCGCTGGAGCTCCCTGTGGGGTTACTAAACGGGTGAGGGGTGTGCCAAGCTGAACCCGAGTCACCATGCGAATCCTGCCTCTGGGGCCTTCGGTCTGTGCCGAACCGAAGCACGTGAGGGGTGTGCCGAACTTGGCCAGGGCAGGAACAGGAGGAGGGAAGAGGAGGAGGAGGAGGAGGACGCAGAGGAGGAGGAGGAGGAGGACAGGAGGAGGAGGAGGAGGAGGAGGAGGAGGACGGAGGAGGAGGAGGAGGAGGAGGAGGAGGAGGAGGAGGAGGAGGAGGAGGAGGAGGAGGAGGAGGGAGGAGGATAAAGAGGAGGAGGAGGGAGGAGGAGGAGGAGGAGGAGGAGGGAGGAGGAGGAGGAGGAGGAGGAGGAGGAGGAGGAGGTGGAGGAGGAGGAGGAGGAGGAGGAGGAGGAGGAGGAGGCAGGAGGAGGAGGAGGAGGAGGAGGAGGAGGAGGAGGAGGAGGAGGAGGAGGAGGAGGAGGAGAGGAGGAGGAGGAGGAGGAGGAGGAGGAAGGAGGAGAGGGTTGGAAGAGAGGGAAGAGGAGAGAGGAGGAGGAGGAGGAGGAGGAGGAGGCGGAGGAGGAGGAGGAGGAGGAGGAGGAGGAGGAGGAGGAGGAGGAGGAGGAGGAGGGGATGGAGGGGAGGAGGAGGAGGAGGAGGAGGAGGAGGAGGAGGAGGAGGAGGAGGAGGAGGAGGAGGAGGAGAAGGCAGGAGGAGGGAGGAAGCGGAGGCAAGAGGAGAGGAGGAGAGGACAAAGGAGACTGGAAGGCGGAGGAGGAGGAGGAACAAGAGGAGGAGGGAGGAGGAAGACGAGGAGGAAGAGGAAGGAGGCGGAGGCGGCGGAGGCGGAGGCGGAGGCGGAGGAGGAGGAGGAGGAGGATGAGGGAAGGAAGAGGAGAAAGGAGAAGGAGGAGGAGGAGAGGAGGAGGAGGAGGAGGAGGAGAGGGTTTGGGAAGAAGAGGAAAGAGGAGGAAGAGGAGGGAGGAGGAGGCGGAGGGAGGGAGGAAGAGGAGGAGGAGTCGGAGGAGGAGGAGGAGGAGGGGGATGCCGGGGAGGAGGAGGAGGAGGAGGAGGAGGAGGAGGAGGAGGAGGAGGAGGAGGAGGAGGAAGAGGAGGAGGAGGAGCGCCCGACCACGAAGGGAGTGACCCAATTCACACATGCACGCACGAACTAGGAGGGTCAGGCGAGGTCAGGATCCTCATCCACTTCCTGACCCGCCTTCCTCCTCTCCTCCACCTGCCGTCTCAGGGCCTCTGCGGCCTCCAATGTGAGGCCGTACAGCGCCAGCACCCGCTGCCAGTCGGCGGCAGGTGGGGGCAGTGGCCGTGCCGCTGCCTTTGGGACCTCACGTTTCGCGGTCCCTGGAGGCCCTGTGCGCAGGCGGAGAATGAGGGCTGCCACTGGGCCCTGACTTCCAAGGACGGGGTTCCTACGTAGGCGTAAAACTCTTAGGACTACGGTGTCCAGGATCTACTCTAGCTCGAAACCTGTTCATATAGAAACACCGACCCCGTGACGACAGGACCACACGACAGGCGAAAGTTCCCCCGTTTCGAGCTGGTGTGCGCCATGCTACCACATGCAACGCACAACAACATGCTATCGTGAAGCGTTTGACGATCCAATTCGAACACATTCGCTTGCTCGATTAAATGCCCTAGTTGCTTCCAAGCTCCTGGCACCGCGCAGGCCTCTGGGGCAGGCGGGCCAACCTGGGGGTCGGGGGGAGGCGCAGGCGCAGCAGCAGCCCCCCTCGGACCCCGAGCAGGAGGAGGGGATGGGAAGCCCATGGATGGTCTCTAGAGGACATAGTTTAGCCACTCAAGGCCCTGGTGGTCCTGCATAGCCAGGGACCTGAACTCAAACTGCTGTGCGGCGCAGAACATTCCGAGCCGACGAGCCAGCTCCGAGCACCTAGGGACTTTGAGCCTGTCAGGCTCGGAAACACGAAACTGGACAGTCCCTTCCTTCGCGAGCCTGTCAGCCTCCGCGTTATCAAAGCGCTGGAGGTCTGAAGTCCTACCTTCCCTGGCGTCACTCATCGACGCGTGCGCTGGACTCCTGACAACGCTCACACCGTTCACGCGATCGCCAGGTTCAGCCCACCAGTGGGCCCTGGTAGACCTGGGCCCTCCCGCACCTCCGAGGTTTCGGAGGCAGCCTGCCGTGGCAGCACAGTCAGTGTACAGAGACACTCCGGGCCCCAGGACCGCCCTCCCAGACAGCATGAGGACCGCAAAGTCTTCCCCGTCGCACGCCAGCTGGTCTGGCGCCTCGCCGAGGGGTGCACGCCCAAACATCGCGGCCAGGGTTCGGCCTCCTCTGTCCAGAACAGCCACGGCCCGTCCAGCCGCGCGCGCACCAGGCACGCCGCCCTCGAACCCCGAGCCGTCCGTAAACAGGCGGCCCCCCGCAGGAATGAACAACACGGCCCATCTTGCGGCCACTGAACGCGGCGAGTGCACGGGTCGTGTGGGCCCCTCGGGGGCCTCGAGGCGCAGGACGTGGGGTCGGAGAGTACGCCCCCGCCGAGCAGCTCTCCAGCTTCCCCCGTGCGATTGCCCGGTCGCAGAGCCGCGTCGGGCACCGCAGGATCCAGGTTCTCGCGGCGCCACGCGTCGAGGGCACAACATGAGAACCTCCTATGGACGAGACTGCCTTCATGATCTCCGCACAACTTGCATACTCCAGATTTCGTAATAAAAGGAGGGGGTCACAATCCTCCCAGACCACAAGTTTTAGACCCCCCCAGACCATCCATGAAAGGGCGGCACTTTGCCCAGACCCCCCCGAACCCTCCAAGGCAGCTCAAATCAGACCCCCCCCGCAAAATGAGACCCCCCCCACTTTATTATGGAATCTGGAGTAGCTTATCAGCCTCTGGGCTGCAAGCGCAGATGCGGGCCTGGGACCAATGCACATTGGCCATCAGCGCCGGCAAGGCTGCTTTGTGTCCTGTGGACCAGCACTCCGAGGAGTTTCTGCCTGACAACAGGTGAACGGGTGACCACTGGACAGGGTCACTCCACTCCTTACAAAATTATGCTGCTTCGCTTGCTTCTCGCGCTCGATCGCTCTCCGACCGGCACTGCGCACGAGGGTACTGCAGAACTTAGGAGAAACCTGCTCAACCCAGGACGAGGGCAGCGATTGGCTGTCGGACCTGATCCCATGGATTCTTACGGGTCTGGACCGCCTGGGCGTCTTCCAGCACAGCCTGCGACATCGATTTGACGCAAAGCGCTCCTACACATTGTTTTACGGCCGAGACGATCACCACCACAAGCGGATCCCTGGTCCAGAGATGAGCGGACGCCAGAAACCGAACACCAAAGGTCAGTCCCTGGGAGCAGGGGGCCTCGTGACCTGACAGCTTGGCAGCTCTCGTAGCAGCGCCCGATCCGAGATCACGCAGCGGGTCTTGTCCCAATCGAGCGGGAGCTGCCTGGCCTTCAGCTCCGTCGTGACCACCTCGAAGCTCTGCAGGGTGGCCTCCGCAGCTGTCGTTGGCCCTCCGATCGCGTGAGTGGTCAGGTCGTCAACCGCGTTGATCGCGCGGCAGGGCCTCGTCTCCACCGCGATCCTACGCGGCAGGGTGCGCATGAGTAGCTCGGCCACCCCCGTCGCAGCACTGCAGCCAGCCACTATCGTGCCGTTGGGCTGGCTGAGCCGACTGGTACCTCCTGCCCACCAGGCCCTGCGAGGGGCTCTGTAGAGGCAGCACAGCGCTACCAGCAAACCATTGTCGAAGGCGCTCGCCTGTCTGACGTAGCTCGTGGTGGCTGACGTTCTCGTAGAACTTCCGAATGTCGTAGAACACCGTGAGGGCCGAGAGCCCATGCCGTCTGGCATGGCATGTCAGCATGTTGTGCAAGTAGGCTGCCTTGCCACAACTCGAGGCCGTGTCCCTGCCCCCAAAGAAGCTAGCGTCGACCGTGGCCTCCCACTTCTTGACATGTGCTCGTCTCGCCCGACCCCATATCCTGGCCCAGCAACAAAGGAGCCCGATGAGTCGGGTGCCTCCGTCCGCCTTGGGTAGGAAGACGCCGACGGTGACCCGCAAGTTGGCACAAGTGTGGGCTGCTTCTCCCACTCCGGCAGACTGTGTGCCAGCCTGGCAACAACGGCACCGCCCAAGAAAGCCACCCATCGCACGTGGACACTGTCCCAGCCGAGGCCCGTCGACGGCCCGAAGGACTTGCAGGCGTCGACGACCTGCTGCTCGCCGATCGGGCCCCTGCGTCCAGTCGCATGGCCAGTCTAAAGTCGGGGGCGGAAAAGAGGGGGGTGATGACTAGGGGCGTGGATATCATGGCGGGGTCCATGATGTTTCCCCAGATTTCATGGCGCCTCTTCTTATTTCATTACGTCCCTGGCCCCCCCGCTGGGCCGCGCACATGCTGCCGGTCATGATTTGCACCCCCCCCTCTTAAACACCCCCCTCTTGGCCGCTCCCGATAAAGGGTGCAGCTCTTCACTCCGCTTGCTGGAGGTCCTCGGCTGCTCCCGCTCCTCCAGCACCGCGTCGATGGCCGCCGACCCGGCCGGCCCCTGGCCGCTCGCGGCCTGTCGTGGGTCAGCACCTGCCAAACCACCCCAACCCAACCCGAAGGCCTCCATTTGCCCTCCATTTCCAGTGGGGGGGGGTCGGGGAACATCAAAAAAACCTCTTGGAACCCACACGTCCCCCCCCCCCAACCCGAAATTTTGGGTCTTCGGGTTGGGTTTGGGGTGTCTGGTAGGTAGCCAGTGGGGCAGGCGTCCTCCAGCCGCTTGGGTCGGCGGACAGCGCGCGCCAGCTCGCCCGGGCCCTCGACCGCCGACTCCCCGAAGTCCTTCCGCGCCTTGCCGCGAGCTCGGGAGTCGTGCCTCCTCCTCCTCTCGTCTACCTCGCTGGCCAGCACCGAGCGGAGCCATGCGGCCAAGTGTCCTCCACGCTGGAGCCAGTGGTGTCCACTTGCCCACCTTGGTTCCAGCAGCAACTGGGAGTTGGTGAGAGGCTTTGGCAGCTCGAGATCTCGCAACTGCTGTGCCACGCGCAGACGGTGTGTCGGCCTGGCCGCGGAGAAGGAGGAGCATGAGAAGGAGGAGGAGGAGGCGGAGGCGGAGGAAGAGGATGATTCAGGATGATGATGGTGACGAGGAGGAGGATGAGGTGAAGAAGAAGGAGGAGGAGGAGGAGGAGGCGGAGGAGGCGGAGGAGGCGGCGGAGGCGGAGGAGGCGGGGTCGTATATGATTCCCCACCCGCAGTGGCAGCAATGACTCCTTCGATTGAGAGGGCCCTCCGCGGGCCTCAGGACAGTCATAAACAATTCAGGATGAGCAGGCCCGGTGCGTGCGTGGAAGTGTCTGGCTTTGCGCTGCTCCAGTGGATCGATTTGTCGATCTAACGCTGCATGATGTAGGAAAAGAGCGCAGGGTGAGTGGAGGATAGCTACGTGAAGCGCTTTGCCGGGGCGGTCACTTGGTTCTCACCAGGCCTTTCAGTGCACTCTCAGTTTGCCGCTGGCTCTCTCGGGAATCGTTGCGTTTTTTCTCGCATAATCGTGTGCATTGTTTTTCGAATACAGCACATATCAGTAATATTGTTCATCAGAATTCAATGTTCGCCGTTTGGTTACTCACGTTCTCCTGCGTATCGGCCTCATGTTGTTGTGGTAAGTTGTTTTCCATGTCGTTGGGATATGCCGTTGTCGCCTGCATTCGGTTACTCTCTAGATTGACCCGTGCTGTTCCCATGACATGGCGGGTGGGTCTGTGAAGTGAGTGTAGGACAACACGATGAGCCTTTGAAGGTGTCATGCGAATGCGGCTTGCAAATCCTGGTTCTTCCCCGGCCTCCTGCTTCTGCTCTTTCACCCCCCATCATCTTCCACAGCGACGAAGCAAGCGTGCCAGGGGAAGGGGGGGTGCATTTTGCTGTCTCAGGCTCGTACGCCTCTCGGCCAACCTTGGAGACGCCTGTGCCGAATCTTGTGTGCGCTGGTGATTGGGTGCCCCTGGGGATCGGGACACAGCAGTGCGGCAGGGAGCAGCGAGGGAGACAGACAGCAGCGATGGAGACATCGAGGGGCGCTGCAGTAAGGCTCGGAGCAGGGAAGAGTGCCTCGAGGGGCAGCAGCAGCCTGGTAACAGCTGGTCGGGATCGAGCCTGGGGTGGCGTCTCGAGGCGCAGGCCCTCGTGAGTGCTGTTGGTATCGCGGGTGCCTCCTGGAGCGGCGGTGTGGCAGGCGTGGAGGCACGGCTGGTGCTGTGATGTGTGCGTGTCTGGTGGATGCCATCCGCGGGGAGACCCGAGAGGGCTCTGGAGAGGGGATCGGTGCGCCCCCCTGCGAGGATTGCAGAGGGGGTGCGGGTTTTGCCATGGGTGCCTGGAGGGTCTTTTCCCGTCGTCTCATGCCTCCTTCTCTCTGGCTCCTCCCCCGAGCCCCTTCTCAGAAAGATGGTGGAGGAGGTAGGAGGAAGAGGAGGAGGAGGCGGAGGAGGAAGAGGACGAGGAGGACGAGGGCCTGGATATCCGTCGTCCCGCCTCCCCTCCCTCGTCGTCCCTCTCTCCCTCCCTCCACGTCTACGCCTCCTATTTCTCACTTCTCCCCTCCCTTGCCCTCCCTTCCCCTTCTTCTCTCGCTCTCCCCTCCCTCCCCTCCCTGCCCCCACTCCCCCCATTCTCCCTCCCCCTACCACTGCCGCCTCCCTCCCTCCCTCCCTGCACCATTGGCCCCTCCCTCCATTACTGGCCCCCTCCTTCCAAGCTCTCCCCTACCCTCCGTGATTGTGCCGGGCCTGTTTTTGTTTCGCCTCCTGGTGGCGGGGGTGGTAGCAGCTCCTTTGTGGCTCTCTTGGCCTCTCGGTTTCCTCTCCGCCTGGTCCGTCAATTGGCCCTGCAAGTCCCTGTCCGTCCTTCCTCATGACTGGAGCCAGGTCACGCAAAGGCGACCCCAATAGAGCTCCTGGGCGTGCTGCGTCGCAGCGCTGCATTTTGACCGCACCTTTCACGCAGACTCGTGGAGTTCATTTCCCTTCTTCCAGAGCAAGCAACTAAGCTCCCCACGACTTTTGATGGCGCTCCGGCTGCACGCTCAGCTTGGTCCTCCTTGGCCTTGAACGGAGTTGGGCGGCTGCCGCTTCGCCCACACCGCTTCTTCGGCCTTGGCCAATGGCCTGCCCGACCTCACAACCGCCGCCGTGCGCACGGGCGCCGAGGAAAACTGTGCGTGTGCGCGCGCGTGTGTGTGTGCGCGTGCGTGCGTGCGTGCGTGCGTGTGTGCGCGCGCACGTGTGTGTGTGTGTGTGTGTGTGTGTGTGTGTGTGCGTGTGTGCCTGTGTGTGTGTGTGTGTCTGTGTGTGTGTGTGTTTGCGTGTGTGTGTGTGTGTGTGTGTGTGAGTGCTTGTGTGTGTGTCTATGTGCGCGCGTGTGTGCGTGCGTGCGCGCGCGTGCGCGCGCGCGTGCGTGTGCGTCTGTGCGTGTGTGTGTGTGTGTGTGTGTGTGTGTGTGTGTGTGTGTGTGTGTGTGTGTGTGTGTGTGTGTGTGTGTGTGTGTGTGTGTGTGTGTGTGTGTGTGTGTGTGTGTGTGTGTGTGTGTGTGTGTGTGTGTGTGTGTGTGTGTGTGTTGTGTGTGTGTGTGTG